GCATATGTGCTATGACTATGTGTTCTGCATTTTCTCACATGAAATTTTAAGAAGAAATAAAACATGTGCTTTATATGGTATGAATGGAGGTAAGGAGGAACATTCCAGAATATCCTGTGCTCTGTTTCTGCCCACACTACAAATGCCATATAGTTTATCTGTATGTTCTTATGGCTTCAGTGTATAAAATCCAAGATGGGCTGTCTTTCATCTTCCATGAAGCACTGTGCAGAAGGAAAGTATTGATGCAATGCATTGTCATTCGCAAAGTTCCTTGACCAATAGACTCCAATAACTTGAAACCTCAATTTTTATCTCTTAAAACTTACTTGTAAGTAATTCTATTTCATGTGACTTGTGCATACGTTTTCCATCTCATCACCCCTATGCCACTGACAGAAAAATGGCAGGACACAATGTAAAGGTCATGTGTTCAGTGTTTTAACTGAGATTCATATCAGTGTACATTGAATCTCCTGTGGAATTAATATATTTACAACACCACTGAAACAACATTAACTTCTCTCAAAGGGAAAAAGTGAAGTTAAGGCTATTCTGTCCAGAAGTAGTATTTTTATATAAAATCCTCCCTTCTGCTCACTTGTTTCCTTCTTCAGTCCCCATCACCTCCTCTCCGGGAGGTAGTAATGTTCTGCTTGCTTCCTACCTTTTTCAGAGCAGATCATCCCTCTTCTGAACTATAGAGAGGAATTATCACTTCACTTTTATTTAGAAGAGAGACAAATTTCCCCTTCTGTTCACTTACAGGGGACTCAGGTGAAGACATCAGGGATTGAGTGTCCCCATGGATCTTATGGTGCCAGTGAATAATTTCTGATTTTGCTGAGTTTGAGAGTCAGAGAAGAGAAGTGACTGGGCACATTTTACAGGGCTGCGAGGCAGATGACACAGCACATGGCCCCAAGAGATTTGTTTACCTCCAGTTTTACATAAAAAAGAATAATTTACTCACTAGTTTTGGAGTCTCGTTCTCTGCAGGAAGAACAATTTCTGGATGAGTTTACTATGTAATGGGAACAGGAGTTAGATAGATAGAAAGATAGATAGATAGAT